TTGGGTTGGATCCAACCAGCTTTTCCACTCACCTAATTTCCTCCTTATTCCTCCACCCCGCCCCCCCCACATAGCAGATACCTTTTGGCCACGAAGGTCCCATGATCCCCAGACAGCCTTTTTGGAACCTCTCCTCCCCTTTTAACCAACATAATAGCTAGCTGAACCCAGCCAATTGCCTTAATGTTTAACATTTTAATTAACCTACTATTGATGTAATTTTCATTTTGACATATGTTCAGAAGGGTCACCATAGAAGAGATCTGACAGCTATTACCTGAGTAGCTGGCAGTGGAGAGTAAAAATAAAGAAGTACAGATATTATGCAGGAAAGATGAATCATCCATCTGAGGGGAAAACTAGACATAAACTAGACATGAGGATGTCACCATGATTTTAAAATGCTACAAGGGCCCAATCTTGATTCAGTCCACAGCATGGTGGGCTGAGGCACCCCCCTGCACCTTATCAAGTGTCAAAATGGCCACACTTGCCCCACAGCTGTTTTGGCACTTGCAAAAGCATGGGAGAGAAAACGAGAGCACCTCAATGCCTCACAGCAGTTTAAAGTGTTTTGAGGCCATATCAACATTGCTTTGTACCAAACTAGATATGACAGCATCTTTGTGGCTAGATTGTCTTGCCTAGTTTGGCCCTAAATAATGTTGAAATGGCCTCCAGTTCTGTTTTCCTATACAGTGCCTGATTTTTTTTCACCAGCAGGGCTAGTAAAACCTTGAAGGGCATTTAGACTGGGGGGGGGGGACATGGTGGAAATGTTAACCCCCTCCCAGTGCCACTTCTCCCATCAAATTAGCAGCCTGTCATGATTGCTTTTTAAAAAAAAATATCAAGAAAGTGGATCATGGATCTCCAATGTCTCGTTTGTTTTGTTTATTAAAGTGAAATTCTAATGGGGCTTTGCAGTTTGGCAGGTGATGTAAATCTCCAAACCAGACCAAGTTTTATTAGGTTTTCCAGAGTCTGCGATCTCTATAATTGGTTATTTTGACAGACAATATGCCCACATTCCTCTAGAGAGCACACTTGCGCTTTCTTATATGATTTTAACCCTTAAAATGGCACGTTCCTGCTTCGGAGGGGAGAGCAGGATATACATTGAACAAATAATAAATAAATGTTTGATTTTTAAAAAGCAACACTGTTAATTTGCTTATGTTACAGCTGATGTGACAAAGCAGCAAGCCATTTCCATGTATGCTGGGTTTATTGGAAGTCCTTAAAAGCCTTGGCTGGTTATAGAGATGCTGCAGAATGTGGGCTGACTAACGGAGAATGAGAAGGCTATGGGGCTGTATCCTTCAAGAATGAAACAGAAGTCCCATGGCACCTTAAAAACTCACATTTATTCCAGCATGAGCTTTTGTGAGTTGGAGCTCTCTTATTCAGATGCTTATTAGAAAGAAATAATTTTAGAGATATTTATGAGAAAATTATGGGGGGGGGGAGAATAAGAAGAACTAAAGTTGAGAGGCTTGATTTTTATTTTGTCATAAATCCTTCCAGGGTGATTCCCTGTGTAAAGAACATGAACTGACCTGGTTGTTACCCACTAGTAGATGATGATGGAGGTCAGAGCTTCCCCCAAATTTCGTAAACAGCCATACTGGCACACACAAAATCCAGAACAAGGAAGAAAATCTATGCAATACCTTTTTATTAGGGCCAATCAAAGTGACACAAAATACTATGCAAGATTTTGCACTTAAACGAACCTTTGTTAGGCAGGTGTTACCAAAAAAAAGTAAGGAGAAAAAAGCTAGGCTCTTATGCTGGCTCTAGTTGTGTTGGATGCTGATAGACACACTGTTTAATGCTGGAGGTGTTAGACTCCAGTACTTGCATTCTACGAAGAAGAAGTAAACAATGGAGATACTTTTCAGTTGAGAAAATGAAGTCCAGCTAGATTGAAATGTCACTCAAATTTCTAGCCACTCATGAGGTACAGATAAACAAAGGTATAATGAAGTAGGATTAAAAACAACTAATGAAGGAAGCAGCAGTTATAGGAACTTGGATATCATCTAGACTTGGAAGTTTTGTCTTGTGCTTTAAGGACTCTATTTGATAATAGCACATGCAAGCTCAGTTGTGAATTTTGATCTTCTACAACTAACATGCTTTTTCTACTCAGATCTATTGTAGGCTGATTCTGCATTGGCTTTTCCCTCCATTGTTTTATGAAACCCACATTGAAACAGAAATTCCCCTCTGCATTGCATGCTGTGTTCACTTTCTTTGATCATTGGGTTTTATGGTAGCTTCCACACTCCATGCCACTTTCGCTTTCTTTGATCATGGATTTTATTGTACCTTCTGTATAGATTTATGGCTGTTTTATGGCCATTCAGGGGTAACTTTGCAGTCAGTGTTGCCTCAAGGTATTTGAATGGGATTTTGAGCTATACGTTTTCCTCCCAATTGAGAAAATGTGGAGCGAATGCTAGATGCCGAATCGCCTGTAGTGACATTTTGAAAAATGCCTTGCTTGTGATATTGTCTGAATCAAATTTCAGAATATTTGTTTGTTTTAAAAAAATCTTTATTTTACATTTTTCATAATGTTCTTCAGTACAACAAAAAGTAATTACATTCCTCAGTCACAATCCAAGGTTTTAACGATGTTGAATCTCAACAAGTCAATCAAATGTTGCAAAAATAGACATACATTCATTAATTATATAATAAAATTACAGTATCTTGAATAACTTTTATGTAGACTAAAATTATTATTATACTAGGAGTAAGGTCTGTTGTGGAAATAAATACATCAAGCTCTAGAAAGAGGCTCTGTGGTGACCTCAGCAGGGTATAATGACACAGAGCGTACTATTTTCTCCAGGGGAACTGATCTCTGCCATCTGAAGAGCAGTTGTAATTCTGATCTCCAGCCCTCCCCTGGAGATTGGCAACAATGGATCCTCAGGAGGAAATGGTTGGTTTGGAAGGTGGAGTCTATGGCATTGTACTTGTCTGAGGTCCCACCCCTCCTCAAACCCCACTCTCTTCAGGCTCCACCCCTCAAATCTCCAGGAATTTCCCAACCTGGAGGTGGCAACCCTATTTCCTTCCCAGGCAACCATTAACATACCGTTATCTACCCCTCTGACTTCAGGTTTCCATCTCTTCCCCCCTCCCTGTAGCCTCTACCTAGGAAAATTACAGTCTTTCTCTGTAGTGGGGACCCAAGCAGGAGGGAAGTGACCTCAGCAGGGTATAATGACACAGAATCCACCCTGCAAAGCAGCTGTTTTTTTCCAGGGGAGCTGATCTCTGCCATCTGGAGAGCAGTTCTGAGTGATCTCCAGCCCTCACCTGGAGATCGGCAGCAATGGTTCCCCAGGAGGAAAAGTACAGTCTTTCTCCGCAGTGGAGACCAAAGCAGCTTACATCATTCTTCTCTCCACCTTTTGATCTTCACATGGTACCATATTAGAAAGACAAATATGATGTTCTTCCACTCTTCCTTGTCCTCTCCCCTAGATTCCCCCCCCAGTAGCTGTTCGTCAAGTGCCAAACCACACATCAAGGTCAGTCATGCATTGTTTGTGGTGCCTGGAATCACTGGATGAGGTCAGGCATTTGCCAGCAGCAGAGACTGTTTTGTGTGTTTGTGTAAAGTGCCATCAAGTCTCAGCTGACTTATGACAAACAGAGGTGGTTTGCCATTGCCTGCCTCTGCATAGCGACCCTGGACTTCCTTGGTGGTCTCCCATCCAAATACTAACCAAGGCTGACCATGCCTAGCTTCCAAGATCTGATAAGATTAGGCTAGCCTGGGCCATCCAGATTAGAAACTGTTCATGAGATCTAATTTGATTTTCCAGTGCCCATCTTCTCCACTAGCATGTCTATGTGGGTTACATTTCCGACCCACATCAACAGCAAAAATCAAATGAGAAGAACGGTCTTGTCAAGACCACTGAGAATCTCCTTCCCCTAATTGACCATGTTTTGAAGGTAACACTGGTTATGAAGAAGAAGCATGCCTGCACATGAAAGCTTGTACCCAGAATTAATCTTTGTTGGTCTTAAAGGTGGACTCAAACTTTGTTCTACCGGTTATGAATTGGAAAGGAAAAGACTTTTGAACATTTTCAAGGGCACTGTCTCCTTACCCACATACCTAGTGCATAATGAAAACTTACCCTCTCACCCAAAAATTCCAGAAATGCCTTGATTTAGTTTCATGGCTGTCTGTTCAGCGTCTTCCATATTACAGAATATTGCTAGGCATTGTGGAAATGAAAGCAGAAGCCCTGCAATGGTTAGTCTTCATAACACTTTCTTTTGTGCTATTTTTGTACTAAGATTGCCCCCACCTAAGGAGAAACATGAATGCCTATATCATTTCCTTTGTAGAGCAAAAGGTTTAGTTAGCAGCTTCTGTTGTTGCGTTTGATTTTTTTTTTTATAAAGAGTCAGACAGACTGCATACAACTATCACAAGCTGTTTGGCGTTTCACAGAAACTTCCAGGGACTTAACGTCATTCCCAAACAGCTAGCTTCATTGTCCAACTATTCTTACAGTTATGAAGTGTTGTGTGAGAGCCAGGCTAAGTCTGCATTACTGTAAGTTCAGCCTTCCCAAATACAGTTTGGCCTCAGGTTAGAATCCAGTTCAGTATATGCATATACAGAGGACTCTTTTCCCTAGTACATCTCTCTTCCTTTCACTATATCACCTATTTCAATTTGTTGCTGAGATGACAAGTGTGTGCTAGTAAGAAAACATAAAGCAGAGTGTTTCTGGCTATCCAGTAACCTAAACTGACTTTACTCAGACTTGACAGCATTTGATGTTAGGGGATGAAGCTCTATTTGCTACCTTGGTGTGTACAAATAAGACTTTAACAGTACAACCCGAAGAATGGTCTCCTGGAAGTAAGTCTCACTGATCAGAATTGTGGACAGTTATGAATAGATCTACATAGGTTTGCTCTGTTTAATATCTTTTAATGATTTTTTCTTTTTTCAGGAGCCTAGGCCTTTATATAATAAAAGGTGCCAGTATTATTCGAGTGGAATAGGATTCCTCTATGATGCCTATCAGACAGAGGTAAGCTACATACTACAGCTCATTTGTAGCTATGCAAATGGGAATTTCATTTTTCAACTTGCTATTAGAACACGTATATTCGAACTGGAATCAAAGCCATTCATGTTCCATTGTTGTTCCATAGTAGTCCCTTGGAATACGTACATTAGACAAATCTTTTTCCCCTCTGAGACTGACTCATGGTAATATTCTAATATGTGCCTAATAGGTTTGCCCCAGCCTGAAAACTGTAATTCTGCATTGTAATGATCAGACACAAACTAAGAATGTCCACATTTTGTATTCAGATTATGAGGATAAAATAGAGGAGGAGATAATGCTGCTGTAAGCCCCTTTGGGTTCCCAGCAGGGGTCATTTCCTGTGGGAGCACACAGAAGCGGACCTCCGGTAGTAAGGAGCCCAGAGGGTGGGCACATGCAACAAGCCCCGCCCCCTGCTCCCAGCAGCCCTCAGTTGGGCCACGATGAGCAAAAAGCAGCCAGGTAAGTTGCAGAGCCCCCCCCAGCCCATCTTCAGGTACAAGCTCTCCCTCCACTGTGAGGGCAGATCTGCACATCCCCCCCCCCATAGCTAGCAATTCAAAACAGTCCAATGGCACTGTAACGATTCCTTGTTTTATGAGAGTGTGTGTCTCTTTAAATGTTTGGCTGCAGTGCAGTGAATGCAGAGTAGAGTGACTGAGAGAGACAAGTGTGCTGTGACTGGAGGATGAGAGAGTGTGGGAGGAGTTTTTGAAGTGGATCTGTGTGAGTGTCAGTTAGGAAAAGTCAGTTATGAAAAGTAGTTATGAGAGACAGTTAGGAAAAGCAGTTGATGTTGTTCAGTCAGTGAGTGTTCAGAGTTCTGTGTGAGATCTCAAAGAGTGCCATATATATCCTTAGCCTGTGTGGCTAACTATGAGAAAGAGTGATCCCTGTTAATGTTGGAACTGAGTGTCAAACAAACAAAAGTAAAGGGAAAAAAGGCTGTGTGTGTGATACATGTGAACAACGTATTTACAAGTCCCTTTATCCTAAACAGTTACAGAATTACCAACTTTCTAATTTGTTCTTAGTTCAATAAATCATCTTTTCTTTAAGTTATCCCAGAATTGAATTCAATCATTCCTCAGGACCACATAGATCCCTGAAAAGCCTAGACCCTGTGTTACCCTACCAGTCTACCCAGTTTAAGAAAGAAAGAGCACATTTAAAGGGAAAACCAGTCCTCCCAAAAGTGAGGACGCCACAAGTGTTGACTAGCGGTGGGATGCAAACATCCTGAGGAAGAGAACATATTAAAGAGAGCATATTAAGAGAAATAAAAATTCTGAGAGAAAGGAAAACTCAGCAAAGGCAGTCTGAGGAGACAGACAGCTGAGGTGATTTAGTGCTGTTGAGCTCTAAGAGATAAACAGAGTTCTGTAAAATACAGTACAATTGTGGAAAGAAATACAAAAAGGCAGAAAAATGACAGAGTTTCTAGGATTAAAGAAAGAGGCTCTGATCCAAAAGTGTAAAGACTTAAATTTACCTCATGAAGGGAAAAGTGTGGAAGACCTGAGAGTTATATTGATTCAAGGCACTATGGAAGCCTCAACCTAAAGCCAAAGTTGAGGGGACATATAACCCCAGTCAAGAATATTTAGAGTTTCTGAGAGAAAAGTGGAAAGTTGAAGCAGAATTTAAAATTAAAGAGATGGAGCTTAAAGCAAAAGTGTTTAGAAGCCTGATGCCTCAGAAAGAGATGTAATTTGAGTTGTTTGGTGTCAAGATGACAAACTATTTTGATAAAGTGATTTCATCAGCCAAAACTGACTATGAAGAGTTCTTAAAATATCGTTTGGAGAAGAATGTAGATGCCAGAGAGAACACTGCTGAAATCTACAACACATTTCCCTCAGATAAACCAGTTGTCTATGCTGAATATAAAGAGGCAAGGATTCAAATATGTACAGACTCAAAAGATTTTCCTCAAGGTGAACCAACAGGCCCAGAAAACAAGCCTCTAGGTATTTTAGCAACAAACACATTTGATACATTTCCAGAGCCAGAGAGAGAACAGGACTCACAGACTCCTGTCAGTGTTAAAGAAAATTCCCAACTTACTGAAACAGGGAAAAATAAGGACTCTAAAGAGTTCAAGAGAGAAATTAAGACAGATCCTGAGTTAAAAGTCATAAGAGGAAAGCCAGAGTTTGAAAATGATGTTTTGGATAATAACATGCAAAATAGGGAGGAAGAGAGACCATCAGTGTTGGAAGCTGAACTACTCCAGCATCCATTTGTTACTGTTACTTCTAGGCTGCTGTCACACGGAGCATTAGCCACGCTACAGAGACGGAAGATAGGCGGATTTTCCGGGCGTGATCAAACCGCAACATCTGGGAAGCGTAGAGCTCCCATGGCGAACCCGAGGCTTCCCGCTGAAGATGCGCCGTAAAAAACTAGTACCTCCAAGGTACTAGTTTCTGGAAACCGCGGGGCAAGGGCGGGCGTCTGATCACATTTCCGGTGGTAGCTCGTGGCATTCCCCAAGTCTCCACGGGATGCGCACAAGCACCCAACGGCGCATGTGCACACTTCGGTTAAAAAAAAACCCACAACCCCCGCCGAGCCACTTCTTTGCCGCGCCGCAGGATTGATGTATGATCGGCACCTCCCCCCGAACCACGAGACGTCGGTGGGACGTTTGATCCGGCGGCCGCGCGGTAGTTCGCTCTGGGGCAAACAGCCAAGCCTCCCCCCCGCGATATCCGGCCCGTGTGACCGGGGCCCTAATAACCCAATCCTAGAACTGACTGCAGAACCTAAAACTGAGGTTACAGTACAAGTTGAAAATGAAAAGGAGGAATCTGAAATTTCTCTTCAGTTAGCTGCAAAAAAGCAAGCCTCATTGTATTGCTAGCTCAGAAGAGAATAAGCTGTCACAGAATACATGTCTTTTGGAATCTGTTAGTGAAAAATTAGAACATGTGTCTGCTGCAGAGATTAGTATTGCTACCCAGGTAGATGGGACAGTGACAGTTGAAGCCAAGAGAGTGGAAATTGCAGAAGGTTTTAATGTTCACTTACCTAACACTGAAGAAAGAAAAACATTCTCTGAAGTTTTAATTCCTTGCCAGACTACTGAGCCTCTTATATCAAAAAGGAAGGCAGTTCTGCAGAATTTGGAAGTGTTACCAGAAACACCATCCCCTGAACTACAGCAGCTGATAGAGGTCAAACAGCTTGAGGAGCAAGGAGAAGACACTTTACAGGAACTTTGTATTTTCTTGGGAAATATTGCTTACAGACTTGACTTTGGCAAACATTTCAGAGTCTTTGCAAAACCAGTTGATGTGCACAAAGTACCAGACTATGTGACAGATTAAGCAGCCAGTGGATCTTTCAGTAATTGTTCAGGTACAAGCTCTCCCACCTCTGTGAGGACAGATCTGCATGTCCCCCCCCCAATAGCTAGCAATCCAAAACAGTCCAGTGGAGCCTGAGTGGTGGGTGTTGCCTTCTGACACACTTCCGGTGATGTCAGGGTGTGTGGCATATGCAAATAAGTTGTGCTAATAAGTTATGCTAATGAGCTCCTGTACCTCTTTTTCTACGAAATGACCCCTGGTTCCCAATGTCCCCTCTAAGCTGAGTTAGTGTGAGTTATCTCACAGTTTTTTAGCCTCTGGCTCACACTTTTTTGTCTTAGCTCAGGAAGGGATGGCTCCAGAGCAAACTAATTTATGCAGTAGCCAAATCACTTGCTCGCGACTTTAATGGCAGTAGCTCACAAAGTAGAACTTTTGCTCACAAGACTCCATAGTTTAGAAGGAGCGTTTCCATTGGGGAGAAAAGTAGGTTATAAATATCTAAATAAATTCATTCATTTTTGTTCTTCAGCCAACAGCAGGGATATCCCATGGCAATAGACTTTTGGCTGGAATGTTAGAAAGCAGACTTGTTTTTCCCTCCTGTTACAGGATGTTTTACACACAGCATATTTGCAGAGTGTAGTTTGTTCTGAAAAGAAGAATGGTGTGTACTCAATAAACCCAAACCCCAAATTATGCAATAAGAAAAGCTGTATTCTGTGACAATGTGACATTGAAATTATGCACACCATTCACATTTGCTTATCTTTGCTTACTTTGCATAGTAATTCTGCTCATCATGGACAAAGGGAAAGAACTCTGTAAGACATTGGATCCTCACTCTCTGCATTGCTCTCTGTCTGGCTTCTCAAATTTCTTCCGACACTGTCCACTGCCGAGATTCTCATTTGGGATAGTGGCTAGAACACTGAACAAGAATGGAAAAGACCCGGGTTCAAGTCCTAGTTTGGACATGAATCTCATTTGGTTAGCTGGGTCAATCTCTCAGATTATCCTACTTCATAGGGTTGCTGTTGAGGATAATGTACATCACCCAGA